ATAACTCTGACTGGATTCGTCTGAAAGAAGAAAGTCATATACACCTAGGATGCCTCGAGGGTGAGTAAAACACACGCTAATATTCATTTTTGGGTGAACTAACCCTTTAAAATAAAAAATTCCTTTTCCATCCTTCCATCCATCCACCTGACAAAATATCTGATTTTATTTTTTTAAATAAATTATTAATATTAAATTATCTTTATTTTTTTATATTTATTAATTTTGAATATATCCATCCATCCGACAAAATAACTTTTTTAAAATAATTTTAAATCTATCTATCTATCTATCTATCTATCTATCTATCTATCTAACTATTATTCCATCCATCCATCCAATCAAATTATTTATTTTAAATTATTATTAAAATTTAATTATCATTTCAATTATTCATATTTATTTAATAATTTAGAATATGTACAGCCTATATTTCTATCTACTGCATCTATATATTACAAACATTTAATATTTATATAGTTATTCATTTTTTTTTTGATGATGCATTAAGCACTTTATATTATACTGAGCAGCTATATAAATAAAGTTTAAATAGAATCAGAACTGAATTCATATGCTACATAAACTCCAGGCCATTAGTCTCCTGTAGTCTTTCCCATCCACTATCTCCTCTTATTTTGAATGTCGTTAATCTTTCTTTGTGAATAGGAGCATCTTAATACACCGCTTGCACATGACAAACGTCCGACCCCTGGCCCGTGTAATTGCATTGTTTCTGAGCTTCAAAGAACAGCCGTCTCTGATGCGTCCTGATACATAAAAGGATCTGTCTCAGGTTAAGAAGCTTTGAGAATATCAGCCCATTTGTGCTCTTATGTGCAGTGTCTGACACTGTGTAAGCATATTTACATCAGATTAGTTGCATCTCACTGATCTCTTAGGTGAGAGATGCTTTTTTTCCTCTCTCTCTCTCTCTCTCTCTCTCTGGCATTAAAAAGCCATGCGTTATGAAGCGTACTCCATTATGACCTGCCACATTACGGCTGCCTCACTATTGCAAGGTTCTATTACGCTTTAAATCAATATTTTACACAAAACCATATTTCCATTTTATGTCCAGCATTCATTTTTCTCAATTCACAGCAATTTAAGTCTTTCAGCTCCTTGGGGTGTTCATTAGAGAGAGAGAGAGAGGTGGGAGTTTCATTTCTAACCAGGTTCCAGCTTAGTGACTAGCACAACAGCACTGGTTGTGACTCAGCAAAATAAGGGTACAGAAATAGCTTACACAACGGACAAAAAGGGAAATTTAAGACAACATGGAGCTTACAGTTTCACAAAGATTCCTAGATTTGCCTTTGCATGTACAGTAATGCTGCCATTTCATGTGAGAAAGGATTATAACAAAAAAAATTGTGCTACCGTTACACTTTTGTATTGTTATTTGAGCTGTTTATGAACTAAATATAATATCAGTTAAATGCATGGGTGGATGGAATGATGAACAGACTGAAAGAACGACAGAAAGATGGAACGACAGAATTGATTGACAGGAGACGACAGAATTGTAGATAGAATGTTAGAATGTTTGAATCATGGATCGAATGATAGGATGATAAAATAGAATGATGGGTAAAAATGGATGAATGTACTAATGGGACAATAGACAGAATGATAGAACAAGTAATAGATAAAATGATACGATGGATGGATGGATAGACAGGTTCATAGTTTTCACCCAACTTTAGGCTATTTGAAGTAGCCTATTTTCTATATAAATGTATTATGGTTTTACAGTCCTAACAATAACGGTAGTTTTTCTTCTTTTTTTTTTTTTAAAGAAGCTATGATCACATTTTTTTTGTTAAGAACAATCTGTCCTTGGTGCTGGATGTAAGTCTTTTATGTCCAGCTGGAATAAGTTTGGAAGTCCTGATGAAGTTAACTTCTGTATGCAGACACCAACTCCACACTTCCTTTAAAAAGTTTTAATAATGCTAATATTGGGAAACCCAAGGATGTCTGTGACATTTTCACCAATTACATTCATAGTGGAGTGCCCTTCGCTTTGTTTTAGCTCATATGCATTGACATTCAAGACTGAATAAATTCAGATACAGTAATTATCCGAATATTTCTCCTGACAACAAGATCATGTTCTCACAGTCTCTGTTCTCTTTTCTTCTTTCTAAATTGTCTGTCTGATGTGCGAGTCTGGCTGTCACATCATTTGTTTACTTTTTTGTCTGCACTTATGTTAATTAAATTTAGCTTCGCAGATCACCCACTGAATCCTCAGAGAGGTTGCTTACAAGGAGACAGAGAGAGAGAGAGAGTTCTCACTTCATAATGAGCCTGAAGCTTCACACAGGGCTATGGGATGCATACGGGTAGGAAAAGCTTTTTAGTGTGAGCTTCTAAAAAGTGCACAGGCCTGGAGCGATCTCTCGTTCCATTCCTCCGTTACACTGCATCCCGCGGCGTTTCCTGTAACCTCACATCTCTCGCCTTGTTTTCCTATCTGTTTGCTTTCTCTCATATTCAAAACCCATTTCTGGACGGGTTTGCCCCAGAGGAAGAGGTGGAGCCAAGCGTAAAACAAAGACGCCCGTCAGCGTCAACGGTCCCAATGGTAAAAGGGGTTTGCTCACCTCTTCCAGTGCTGTAGTGCTGGAGTTTGTCACTGTATACGGCCTCCTTATTGTATGCACGTTTCCTTTAGGGAAAGAGGGGGAGAGAAAATTAAATTAAGAAATATAGTTATTACATGAATCTGGATTTGCTCGGTTGGCTGAAATCTAATGGAGCAGAGTCTGAATTATTGTGTCACCTTTTGAGCTTCAGACAAGGAAGTAAAGTCTGGTCCAAATTGCAGCTTATTCTGGCCAAGAACGTGCTACTCATTTAGAATGAGATTGTATGATTGACATGTCAAGTGACCAATCACAGTTTGTTTTGTCTTGTGTGTAATTGGGAGGGGGAGAGGTGTTTGATCCCACAATAATAGAAAAAGACGTTCAAAGGCTTTATGATCTAAATTTCTGTTTGACCAAAAGTAAAGTCTGAAGACAAAACTTGTTGTCGGGTTCGTTTGGATATAGTTGTGTCTGGCAGTAAAGGGCTTTTTGTGATCCAATTCCTTTTATTTTTGGATTAAAAGCTTGAATTGCTTGCTGTTTACAGGAGTTGCATCACCTCACCCATCATTAACATTACCCTACAGCAAAGAACTGACTCAGATAAAGACCGATTTATCAGCACGAGCTTGTGCTCTGAGGAGAGCTAGTGGCTATCACTGGAAATTAAAAAAAAAAAAACACACATGCTGATATGTACTATGGAATTAAATATTAAATGTTTACAATGTTAATAAAATGTTATACAATTAAATAAAATATTATATAATCAATATATAACAACATATTTACTATATTATTATATGTACTCAAATGTTTAATATTAAATATATAAACACTACTGTTCAAAATGTTTTTTTATGCTTTCATTCAGCCAGGAAGCAAAAGTGACAGTAAAGACATTTATAACGGTACAAAAGACTTCAATTTCAAATAAATTATCTTCAAAAAAAATCCTTGAAAAAAAAAAAAAACATTAAGCCACCCACAACTGTTTTGAACATGTTTCTTGAGCAGCAAATCAGAATGATTTCTGAAGGATCATGCGAGACTGAAAACGGAAGTAATGGCTGCTGAAAATTCAGCTTTACTATCCTAAAAATAAACTACATTTTAAAATATAAAAAAACCCAGAAAACAGTTATTTTAAAAAATATATAATATGTCTCAATATTACTGTTCTACTGTCTTACAGACCTCATACTTTTGAATAAATGATTCATAATATGTTACACATTTTAGAATGATTAAACATCTGATTGTATCACTGACCAAATTATTGATACATATTTGAAGATGGCTCCATTGCAGATGATTTTATATATTAAGTTTCACATTCACTTTAAGTAAAAGGAAGAATCAGGAACACGTTCAGCTGGTTTGAACTAGTTCGAGGCTTTTCGTCCTTACGAACACATGCAGCAAGTCATACGTCTGGCTCCATAATAGCAAACTCACCTGCTACAGACTATAGATATGGCCACCAGAGACACAATGAAGACCACTCCAGCCGCGGCTGAGCCCGCAATCAGCGGCAACTGCTCCCTCAGCTCTGATTTATAGTCGTCTAGACAGAGAGAGACAGGATGCATTAGGCTACAGAAATAACTGAAATTGCCGCTGACCATAGAGATGAAACGGGATGAAAGAACGTAAACAAAACATTTCAAGAGAACCCATTCAGGAAAGT